TCAAATAGTTGTTAGAGCAAAATTGGTTCCGAGCAAAAAGGAAAGCCTATTATCTTTTGATATTGGTGAGAATCAAATGAATGATCACCAAGCTGGTGGATAAGCAGTTCAATCAGGGAAATTGGGATGACTAGTTCCCCTCATCATCTTTATCTTCTGCTTATTTCTATCTTTATATTGTTTGCATGGACTGTGATATTAACTGGTGTTATACCAGGAACATTTGCCTTAATCTTTGGTTAAATATGGTTTAGGATCTAATCTAGATCAGACTGGCGTAAATAGAATTTAAATAGATCCCTGAGAGCTTTAGATAAATAAGATTTTATTCTGATGGATCTATTAGATAAGATTTAATCAATGTAGTTGTTAGTATTGTTAAACATCCTTCTAGATGATCAGTTTTACAAAATATGCATTAAACATTACTTCATTTTCAAAACTGATTGTTTTAATCAATACAACATCTTTTTAATCGATTAAATAAACTTATACAACATGTTTTAATCGATTCAAAATCGAAATAATCGATTATTTTTACTAAAGTTTCATGTTTTCAAAATCTTAAATGTTTTAATCGATTAAACCTTTCTTTCAATCGATTAAAATCATTTACCAAGAACATTTTAACCGATTATGCTCTGTTTTTAATCGATTTTTATTCTGGGAAGAAAGATTAAAGGCTTTAGTTAATGGCTGTTCCTGTAACATGCTACTAAAGCATGATTCCCTTATCTTTACACGTGTTAATTGTATTCATTACAAACGTGTTAATGGAGATAAGTTTGAATCAACTTTAATTGATTCTTTTCATGAGTGAAATATTGATTCACTTTGTATTTTCAAAAACTTGAGCATATTTTTCGAAACCTTACATTTTATTTTTTTTCTCTCTATTCACTATTTTTGATGAAGTCGAAAGGGGGAGAAATAGTTGCATCACTTTAAGATAAATTTAAGTGCAACATTTTAGGGGAGAAATAAGTTTTAGGGGAGAAACAAAACTTTATTACATTCTTATATTTCTCACCTAACCACCTTACATTTTATTCTTCTCTCTTCTATTCCCTATTTTTGATGAAGTCAAAAGGGGAGAAATAGTTGCATCACTTTAAGATAAATTTAAGTGCAACATTTTAGGGGAGAAATAAGTTTTAGGGGAGAAACAAAACTTTATTACATTCTTATATTTCTCACCTAACTGCATTATCAAGTGACTTATTTTGCAGAGATTGTTTTTCAAAATGGTGTTTGTCTTCATCAAATAGGGGAGACTGAAAGTGATCCTAGCAAAGATCTCATTGATTTGATGAAGTCAAAGATAAAGTCAAGGGTCAACTCTGCAGCGAGTCAAACAAGTCACTCGAAGAATGGAGCTGAAGACTTAGTGTGTCTTAACGGAAAGCTTAGGTAAAACCACTTTACCTTTTCCACTGCATAAAGCTTCTTCACTCATCTTGCAAAATGCCTCAAAAATAGTTTTAAACAAATCAAAAACAAAAGCATTTTGACAAAGAACTTTCTTAATAATGTTTTTAATCGATATTGCTTTTAAAGAAACGTTTAAAACACTTAGAATGTTTATAGAAGTGTTTTTACAGACATTTTAATTGATACAAAAACCTTTTAATCGATTAAAACACTTTATGACCGATTAGAATTCGAATATAATAGGTCAGAATGCATTATAATCGATCAGATCTTAAATATGAGCGATCAGAACTATTTTAATCGATTAAAACACGTTTCAATCGATTAAAATTACTTTGGATGTCAGGATGATCGATCAGAATGAGATTATGACCGATCGAAGTTGGATATGATCGATCAGAATTGAATTATGACCGATCAGATCTGTTTCAATCGATTAAAGCGTATTTCAATCGATTAAAATAACTTAGAAAATCTTTTCAATCGATTAAAACAAACTTTCAATCGATTAAAATGACTTGAAAATATATGTGCAGATTTTCAATCGATTGAAACGACTTTATATCGACTAAAATAACTTGGAAAGTTTTATAAGAAGGTTTTTAACAAATCAATCGATTAATACGTGATTCAATCGATTGTTTTATACTTAGAAAATGTTTGTAAAGCGTTTTAACTGATAAAAACGTGGTCGTATCAACTAAAACATTTTACTGTTAAAGATCATGAACGCATTAATGGGTTGAAAGGACTTTTAACAGATTGTAACGGCTATTTCAACAGATTAAAACAAACTTTCAACAGATTAATTAATGCAGCAGATTTGAAAATACTCTTTTATAAAGCAGATTTGCTTGAAACTTTGAGATAGAGATCACATATCAGTTTTTACACAATTCAAGCAATCAATACAAGCAACTATTAGCATTTTTCAAGAAAGATACACAACTGTTTTTGTGAACTTCTTTTGAAATCTTTCTTGAGGCACTTTGCATTTCTTTGAAGAAGAAACTGATCGTGATTGGTGTAATCCGGTTTGAGCTTTCTTTGTTTCTTCTTTTAAATTTCTATTCATTCATTTGTCTTGTTTTGTACCTGGAATTTGGGTACAAGTTTTCTGCAGTTGTTGTAGAAAGTTGCCAAGAACTGGAATTTGGTTCTTGGTGGAAAGGTTAAAGCAAGAGCTGGAATTTGGTTCTTGTGTGTGGTGCCTGGAATTTGGGCACCTGGGTTCTCTTGCAGCTGGAATTTGGTTGCGAGAGGTTTCCAAGAGCTGGAATTTGGTTCTTGGTGGAGAGTTAGAATAGGTGTAAGAGGGTGAGTCTGTAAAACATCTATTCTAGTGGAACCCAGCTGGAATTTGAGTCGGAGTTCTGGACGTAGCCCTGGTATTGGGTGAACCAAGTATAAAATTACGGTGAAATCTTTCCTAACCTTTCTCTCTTTAATTTACTGCTGTTGCACTTAAAGCTGTTTGATTGCTTTGTGATTTGTGAATTGATAAGTAATCTTAATTTTCGAATTAGATAATCGTGTATTGCGAAAAACTTTCAAAATCAATTCACCCCCCCTCTTGATTTAAAACTACTTTTCTAACAATGGTAGCACTAATGAGCCAAGTAACACCAACAACCCAATTGGTGTGAGTGGGCCAAGTAATGAACAAAAGTCCATAAGGAAAAGCTCTAAACAAACCTCAAGGTCAGCTGAATGGATTGAATTTATTCACTAAGAAAATAATTTATTTTACAATTATGCAGTATTGGAATCTTTTTTGTTAAGATATTTGTTTGTATTTTCGTATTTTGTGGAAATCAGTTATAGAGTTAGATTTGCTTATATATATTGTAAGAAACTTTTTGGAGATATATGAAAAATCATACATATTATTAACTTTTTTCTCTTGAGGTTGGTACCTCGAATACCAAAATTCATCTATCATCTTCTATCAGTTTTGTATCAAAGTCAACTTTTAAAGTTTGAGAGTGATGTAGGGATAGATTTGCTTATATCTACTGTAAGAAACTTTTTGGAGATATATGAAAAATCATACCTATTGTTAACTTTCTTCTCTGGAGGTTGGTACCTCGAATACCAAACTTCTTCTATCATCTTCTATAAGTTTGGTATCAAAGTCAGCTTTTAAAGTTTGAGAGTGATATAAGGTTTAGGGTTAGGCAAGATAAGAGATTGTTTGATGTGCCTCTTTATCTTAGAATTCTAGTACTAGAACCACAATGGAGTAACATTGATCTTTTAATACAAATTCAATTGAAGATTCTTTTAAAGTACCAGGAAAGGTTCCCAATACGGTGTAGTAACAAAAATAAATATTAATAATAATAATAATATTAATAATAATAATAATAATAATAATAATATTATTATTATTAACATTAATAACTATTAATATTAGCTAAAACAAATAATATTATAAGAATAATATAGAAAAAATGAAAAACATCAACAGAATAATGAAAATCAGCAAAAATAACACAGTAATAATGAATAATAAAATGAAAAACAACTATAGAACAAACAAAATCAGGAAAAATTGGAAAAATAGCAAAATGGAACGTATTAATGTTGTTGTATGAATGGAACATATTCGTTGTTGTAGTATTAGAACAACATACTTCACCAAATGATTTTGATAATGTTGCTACAACAAACATAAAGAACAACGTGAGTTTGACGTATTACTACACTCGTTCAACAAAAGCGAATAACGTATCTCGAATGTGTCATGTTCAAAAGTACAATCAAGATAATTATTATGAGTTTGATGTATAAGACCAATCCAATCTCCAGTATCGTCAAAAATCAATAAGCTACATAGTTCGATTAAATCAATGATTATGTGATTATGGGGAATTCCAAGTTCTACGACTCCCTTATTCTCATGTTATTGTTATCTGTTCTTCTTGTCATTTATAACTAACTGCATTTATCAATCTAGTTTACAACTTATAAAACATTTATAAGACATGAATTTCAATTTCATCTGGTTCGAAATGAAGATTATTGGTCTATTTATACATATCTAAATTTTGTCATGATCCTAATATGCATCGAAACACATCAGGAAGACCTACAACTAATCAAATTTGAAATGAAATGGATGTACAAGTTAGAAATAAACAAAAAAAATGTTCATTTTATCGAAATGTTCATTTTAACAATAAATTTATATTTTTTTAAATAATATAATATTTTAATATAAATGTAGTTAATTAAATTTAATCATATCTAAATAATTTTATTTTTTATTAAATTAATAATTCAATTAAAAATAATTATTTAATAAATAATATATTTAAAAAATTAAAAAAATCATATTTTTGAAAAAAAAATTGTGACAAAAGTGTGCTTCCAACACAATTTCAATACCCGAAACTCGTGTTCGTGGCACGAGTTAACCCGTTTTGGAAATATTTTAAAATTTCACCCCTTTCGTAAAATCAAAGTTTTTTTAACCCCATTTGTTAACAAAGTCATTTTTTCTTTATTTTTTTTTCTTTCTCCCTCTTCTTCTCTTCGTCATTCTTCAAGAAACCATAACCAAAACAATGTCGTCATCAATCGAAACTCTCCTAGAATGTGTTCGTCCCTTCTTGCGCGGCGAGTTCCAATCCATTGATGAAAACCTCCCTTCGCTAATTGGTGTCCTGCAGAGTGTGGGTGCTAGAGAGTACTGGCACAAACATTGCAACTTCCTTCAGCACCTTGTCGACATATATCGCATTCTCAACCTCTGGAAAACCCCTCACTCCGTTTGCCTCTGCGACCTCTTCCACTTAGCCTACTCCAACTCCTATGTCAATCTCGCCATCATCGACCCTTCAATTGGTCATGAAGTGGTTCACCGCCATGTGGGCCACGAAGCTGAGGCTCTGATTCACTTGTTTTGTGTAGTTCCCAGGCAGCTCCTCATCCACGACGATCTTCTCTGCCAGTACTCCGATAAGGAACTTGTGCAACACCTTGCTCAATCAGAGATATCTCACTTAGTAAGGTCAATTCCTAGACAGTTTATATATGGACTATCTAGAGACCTTAGAGCTTAGAACCCAGGCTTCAAAGTTCATACAATTTAAAGAGAACATTAAGATAAGGAAAAGAAGAGAATTGTAAGAGAAAGAGGCACTTCTAGCATATACAATTCGAACGAGTGGTTTGAATGCAAGGAAAGGAGGTTCACTTCTCTAAATACAAGTATTGAGACCATTTTATACCAAACATGTAATTTAGAGTTGGTAAAATTACTAGAGTCATCAACCACACCCCTGGTGTAGATCAGTTGAAATAGTGCGCATGACATCAAAACTTTGACCATAGCATTGAAAATTGCAGGAAACCCAAAGATATTATAAAAGACCTTATTTGAGTAGTACCCTTGATAGGTTTATCCAAAATTACAACAAGGATAAGGATATAGGCAAGAGAGCTCTCACAATTGTCGAGGACGAGGTCGTCCGCACTTTGGAGGTCAAGGTAGAGGACTAGGTCCTCTGAAACTAGACTTTTAGCCGGTTATTTGCACTCAAAGCGCCCCACTTGAAGATGTAAGAGACATAATAAACACAATTGTAGAAAGATTTGTAAGAGGAGGTAGCATGAGTTTAGCTTCGAAAAAAAAATTATGAACAATCAACAACATTAATAGTATCTAGTCATTCAAGCCTAGGACGATGCCTGAAATCACTTTCACTTATGACAAATTTAGCTCCCATGATTGCAAGTAAGATGATCCTATGGTGATCACGATTTATATTACTAATTAGGGAGTTAAGAAGACACTAATTAACTAGGGGAGCTCGACTAATATAGTGTACTAGTTCACTTTTTTAAAGATTGATGTTTCCCATTACCAATCCAATCATATCTCGACCTCATGATCGTTTTTGTTGGTGAACGAGTTCATACTTGGAGCTATATTAACTTGTTGAATACTTTTGATGTTGGAGAAAGAGTATGAGTCTCTTAGTGAAATACATACTAAAAGAAGTTCACACATTTTAATACACCACAAGAAATTTTATAATTAGCTAGAAAAATTAGCTACAAAATTTATTTTTCACTAATTTGTAGCTAATTAGCTATGGAATAGTAAAAAAATAAGGTTGTAGCTAATCTGTAATAAAATAGCTAGAAGACTAATATTTTTGTAGCTATTATCTCACTTAGCAAAAAAATAATTTAGTTAGGAAAAATTTTGTCACTAATCTCTCGCTATAAATATTAGCTATATTACTTTTTGAAGTTATTTCCTGGCTAAATTGTATAACATACAATTATAGTTAAACTGTAGCAAATTTATAGCAACTATCAAATTGAAAAAAATATTAAATTATTGGGAACCATTCTTATAAATTATTTTAGTTTTATAAAAATTATTTATAAAAAATACTTGTAAATTTCTATAAAAATATATAATTATAAAAAATAATTTTTGATCTTTTTGAAAAAAATATCAATAAAAATTAATTACAATTTTTTCTTAAAAAAATTATTTTTACCAAATTTACTATAAATATATAATTATATATATATATATATATATATATATAAATTATTTTTTTATCTAAAATAAATTATTTAGAAATAATTATAATTTTTTAAAAAAAATATCTAAAAAAATTGATAAATATTTAAAATTATTTTTTGTAAGTTTTTTATAAATTTAAATTTGTTAGAAATATTTAATAATATTTAAATTAATAGAAAAATTTTATAAATAATATTTTTTTATAATTTTTTTAGAAACTATTCTTTATAAGAAATAAAAAAAAATTATATTCAGAAATACTAACTTATTTATTTTTTATAATTCTTTTAATAAAAATCTAAATTAATTTTTTCTCATCTTCTTCATATTTAATTTTTTCAATCGTCGTCTTCTCTCTCGTCCGGTGCCGCTCCTCGCTGTTCGCTGCTCCTGCCATGCCGCTCTCGCTCTCGCGCTGCTCCTCGCTGCTCTTGCTCCCGCTCCATGCTGTCCCAGTGTTGCGTCCGTTGCTGTCCTGCGCCGCGTCCGTTGGCTGTCCTGCGCCACTTTCACACATGCTGCCGCTCACGTTTTCTCACGGTAATCTCTTTTTCATTTTGAATGTTACCCTGTGATTTGAGTTTTGGGAGGTTTGATTTTATTCAATATGTGTTTAAGTTTCATCCATAGTTAATTGTCTATAGCCTAATAGTTTTAAGTTTGTTGTGTATTATTTTTAGAGTGAACTCTGTTCTGTTGAGTAAGTAGCACTATTACGTATACCATGTTACAACAAATGCAGATTGATCCAAATAAAAGAAAATGTTATAGATGTAAAAAACAATGGTTAATTTTTGTGTGTTATTATATATTTATGGTGTGTCCTTGGAACCTGGTTGGGTTAGGAAATTATGATAGCATAAGCAGATGCATATATTCCTTTACTCATGTAGCAGCTGGCGGCAAAGTGACATTGAATTTTCATAGTGTGACAGTTCAATAATGATGTGTGAGACCGGAAGTGTGGTGTGTGCAGTGCAGGTAGGAAGGGAAAGGCTGCAGTGATGGATTAGGCTGAATAAGAGAGTGACTGTGCGGGAGAGTAATTACTCCAACAAGTACATGATAATTTTTTGGGAAAACTAAGCGTAGTGTGAATGATTGGGTTTCTGGCTACTTAATCTAACTTGTTATTGTAATATTTGATCAGCGAAAGCTAGCGCAAAGATCAGAAAGAGTAAAATGTGTGGATCTACATCCAACAGAACCATGGTAATGCCTCGTCTTCTGCTGTTGTTTTGTTTCTGAATTTAATTTGTGATGTGAGGAATACTTTATTATTGGGAATATCTGTAAATATTTTTGTTATACAAGGTTACAGTTGGTGTCATTTAATTAATTACTTGAAGCAACCTTGATAATGCAGGATTCTGGGGAGTTTATACTCTGGAACTGTCTGTATCTGGAACTACCAATCCCAGGTGTGCTATTCTTTATGCATATTGTCAGAAACGAGTTTTTTTCTAACCGAGAAATGTAATGGTGGATAGTGTATGTTGGCACTTAAGTCAGACACGGGTGTTTGTTGAATGATCTATAAACAAGCCACCTTTTGCCTGGTGCCTATTTATAATGGTGGATAATGTATGGAATAGCGTATGATGTAGTGATTCATTACATGGAGAAAATATTGAACGAATTATTAACAATGCTCTTTGTTAGTGATTTTTTGTCTTGAAGCACGTCTACAAATATTATAGTATTTTATTTATACTTCAAAATAGATAGAAACTGGGACTTGTCTGAAATTTACATACTGGTAAGTAATTTGATGAGTAAAATGTGTGTTTCTTTAATCTAAATCACACCCTTTTGAAATTTCCAAAGTATGACCACTAATTAATCTTATGTAACAGATCTTGAAGTCTGTGTTTGGAAGAGATTTAGACTAAATTATGTGCTTCTGAATACTTTTTATGCCTTTATAAGTTTTTCAGATCAAGCTGCAGACTATAGTTTGATAAAATTTGAATACCTGTAGATATTAAGATCATCATTTGGCATTCGCCTTTGTTTTTAACATTTCACACATGCAATCTTGATTTTGCAGTTTATAGTGTATTGCATTTTGATTTGTATTCTTGTTTTACTATCATTCATCTTGGTCTTTATTGTTTATAATTTCATAGCTCGCAACACACTCCGTGAATCTTCATAGATTGTTAATTAGGGATGTTAGTTTCTGACTCTCCACCAAACTACTGCTTTTAACATAATTTAATTTATTCTATTTTAGACCATGGCAAAATCTTTTGAGGTTACCGAGTTACCAGGTACATGAGTTATAAACCTTTTTTGGTACATTTGTATGTATATGAGACTCGTGATACTTTTTCTTGAATACACTCTTTTTTCTTTTTATATTTCACTAGAGCCCTTATACAATATGATTTTGCAGTTAGATCGGCCAAGTTTATTGCACGCCGACTGTGGGTTGTTGCTGGAGCAGATGATATGTTTATTCGCGTATATAATTACAACACGATGGATAAGGTTAAAGTATTTGAAGCACATACTTATTATTATGGTATTATTAAAGAGATATTAGAATTGTCTTACCTTGGATATCAAAACAAAGTAATTATTTTACATTGTCATTGGTTTGATCCTTTTCATGGTGTTAAAGTTGATGACATATATGGCTTGGTTGATATCAAGCATAAATCAAAGCTTCAATCAAATGAGCCATCAACTGAGGTTGGCCAATCAACTAGTGGTGGTCAATCAACAACCACCATCCCACCAATTGATGTTAACCAATCAAATGTTGTTCCTAGCTATACATTTATACATTTAATACATTGATCATATAATTGTTAATCAATATTGATTACTAGTTATAAATTGAATATTAGGTTTGATGTTGATATATTGATGTCTGAATCTTGAATTGTAAATTATTTCACAGGAAGAAGAGCACAAACATCCTATTTCTTATGATGAATTATATAGCAAAGTTCATAAAAAGAAAGATGGTGAATATGTGTCTAACAAAGCAAAAAAATTCATTGTAAGTGTGTATATTTTATAAATATTAAATTTTGTTTATTTATAATATTGCTAAAATATTGATTTGATGTAGGAATCATATGAAAATGCTATGATTGAAAAATATGGGGAAGATACATCAAATCATCCTATAGTTGATTCTAATCTTTGGATAAAGATGCTGGTGAAAATAAAAAAGGTTGAATTTATGGTATAGGTCAGAGTTTGGATCTTGGTATTTCACATGTTTCATTTTCATCAGTTGAAGGTCCCTCTTCCCAAAATCGTATCACACCTCTCACTGAAGAAATCACTACCTTAGCTACACAGATATCTAGTTTGCAAAAGCAGATGAAAACGCAGTCATGAGCACAAACCGATATGCAAGCATTGATGCAAGCATAAATGAAGATACAAGCGTAAATGCAAACACTCATGTAACAACAAATGCAAGAAGAAATGCAGTCTTTCAAGAAAGATTCATTATCTACCTTAAAGAAACAATGATGAAAATGTACTTTAAACTTTATTTCTATTTTTAATTGTGTTATACAGAACTTTTTAGTTGAAATATTATTTTTGTTATGTTTTAATTGTTTGAAACATCATTTTAACTATGTTTAAACAATACTTTTATATTGAAAGTTGATAAGTTTGTCTTCTTTTTTAAGAATATGAGTAATAATTTAAATCTTAAATATTTGATATTATAAATTTTGATAAAAATTGTGAGGGATTAGCTATGAAATAGCGAGAGAAACATTGCAAAGGATTAGCTACAGATTAGGGAGGAAATAATTGCGAGGCATTAACCACATATTAGCTAGAGATAAATTGTCAGGGATTAGTTACGGATTAGCGAGAGAAAAATCGCGAAGGATTAGCTACGGATTAGCGAGAGAAAAATTGCGAGGGATTAGCTACGAATTAACGAGAGTAAAATTGTGAGGGATTAACTACGGATTAGCGAGAGAAAAATTGCGAGAGATTAGCTATAAATTAGCGAGAGTGAAATTGCGAGGGATTAACTACGGATTAGCGAGAGCGAAATTGCGAGGGATTAGCTACGGATTAGCGAGAGCAAAATTGTGAGAGATTAGCTACGGATTAGCTAAAGTTTTGGGAAATCAAATTAGCTAGGGATAAACAAAATTTCATTATTTAATTTAGCGAGGGATTTAGCGACAGTTTAGCGACAAAATTTGCTACAAATTTGAGAGAGAATACATCTGTATCTAATTAGCTACTTGGATTTAGCTACGAACTATTCCGTAGCTATTCCGCAACTAATCTGTAGCAAAACATACCAGCGAGAGATTAGCTATAAAATAGCTACGAAATGTGTCATAGCTAATATGTAAAATTCTTGTAGTGATAGGATGTGAAAACTTCAATCAACTTATTGTGTCCACCTTGATATCACATTTGTACATACATTTATAACATTATTGTATAGTAAATATATTTTCCATATTTTTATTTTCACTTTTAAATTCATTTCTAGTTAGTAGTAATAAATTGGGTTCAATGTACATATTTGCTTTAATTTTGTATTTTTAGCTAATCTGACCTTTCATTGGGTTCTACATTTACAGTGGCTATCAAATGAATATATGGTTTGTAGGATTTAGAGTTATGTGCTATTTCCTACAATTTTTAAAAGTTGAAGCAGATTTGCTGAAATTTTGTAAACAACTCATGCATATTTAATTTTTATTTGTATTATCTTATTTTTTGTAATTGAGTTTATGGACCTAATTAGAGCCCACAATAAGGCCTATGTTTATTTCATATTTGAGAGTATTTATATAGACTAGAAGTGCTCTAAACTCATATGAAGAAATTAGTTGTTTAGTTTTTCAACTTAGGAAGTGTCTTTACATTTTTTTCCTTCTTCTTCTCTATTTTCATTTTTTACTCTTCCTATCCTTCTCTTTTATGGTCTAAACTGCTTCATAAGTTCTTCATCGATGGAGAACTAAATTTTAAAGATTTATTTAGGGAATCAAATCAAACAAGTCAAATTGAGTTTTGTATTGATCGTTTTCCGCTTTGTGTTTGTTCCTCTCTTCTCTAATTTCAGTTTTGCATCTTGAGATATCAATTTGTAATGATTTTTTAGAATTCAAATTATGAATCAATTAAATATTGATTTGATAATTAGATATGGATTAGATTGAATGATATTGAGATTTATATCCTATAATCGATTTAATTGATTAATTGAATCGATTAATTGTTCAAACTTGAATTGAAATCTTTGTCGAACTATGATCAAAGAATTGTTTGATTGATAATTAGTGGATTGATCAATATTTTTATTTTTAATTTTGGTTTCTATTTTTTTTTGTTTTTTATTTTGCTTTACAATTCTTTTTTACATTTTGAAACCCCCAAATTTAACTTTTTATGAAAAGAATATTAAGAATTAAAAACATTTCAATGTGTTCTTACGAAAAATGACCTAGGATTGCACTATATATTACAAAATATTTTGAGCAAACTTAGTATCTTTAGTTTCATGAATGATAGTGAAAATCATACCTCGCACATGACCATGAAGTTCCCATTGGAAGGAGGACATATTACGACAATTAAGGCAAATCCCAAAGAAGCCAAGAGTGTTATAGTCTAAGTTTAAAAGCTCGTCCACACTCACTAATGAGAATTAATGAGACCAAGTTACATATCTAAAATAATGTTGGAGAGATTAATTTGGATCATCGACACAAAGAAGATGAATCCAGACCGAAGTTGGATGAATCATTGTTTGAGTTTCAAATTGGAAATGAAACCTATCAAATTCATATGTGTGGAAGGCCTTGGATGGAAACCTAGGTAGAAAATGTGGTGTTAGTAAAAAAATCTAATGGTAAATGGCGTATATGTGTTGATTAGTCCGATATTACCTAAAAGATTTTTATCCCTTGCCGAGCCCTGATAGGCTACTGGATATTACCTTTGACTATGAGGTACTAAACTTTCTAGATGCATACTCTAGGTGTAACCAAATACCCATGTACCCCCCAACAAAGAAAAAACAATCTTCATCATAAAAGGGACTAATTTTTGCTACAAAGTCATGCCTTTTGGTTTAAATAATGTTGGGGTTACTACCAAAGAATAATGGATAAAGTGTCCAAATATCTAATAGGAGATCTAATGGAAGTATATGTAGATGACATAGTCATTAAATATAAAAGAGTTTGGGATCATGCCCAACATCTTGAAAGAGTTTTCATTAAAGTGTAGAAACATAATATGAGGCTTAACCTAGAGAAATGCGTATTCAGAGTCAATGGTGATAAATTTATAGGGTTTATGATTGCATAAGGAGAGATTGAATCAAACCCTAACAAATGTGAATCCATTCTAGCTATGTAAAACCCTCAAAATGTTAAGGAAGTACAAAGGTTAAATGGAAAATTGGTTTCTTTAATCCGATTCATTCCAAAGTTAGATGAGAAGACCAAACCATTTTTCAAGCTACTTAAAACATCACAAAATTTTGAATGGAACAATGAATGCAACAACATGTTTCAAGAAATTAAAATGGATATAGCCTTTCTACCTCTACTTACTAGTCTAGAGTCTGGAGGAATTCTTCTTATGTATCTGGTAGCATTTGATACGAGTATAAGTTTGGTCCTAATAGTTGAGTTTGTAACCAAAAAAACTAGGTATACTTTACAAAGAAAATTTTATAGCCATCAGAGACAAGATATTCCGCATTGGAAAACTTATTCTAGCGTTGATAAGCCAAACTCAAAAGATTAGATATTATTTTCAAAGTTCTCCATAATGGTAAAAAGTGACTATCCTATAAGATAAATATTACAAAAACTTGAGTTGGTGTCAAAATTTGATATTCTTATGAATGTTGAGGACTAATGAAAGCTCAATTTTTAACTAACATCCTTATAAAGTTCTCACCTTTGGGAGAAAAACATGAATTGTGGACCTTGTTGGTTGATGGTTCCTCAAACACTAAAGGTAGTTGGGTAAGGATCATTCTTGAAGGTCCCGTTGGTAGTTAGAAAAATACCGAGATTCGAGTACATGGCGTCGAAATTTTGCACCATGAGTTAACCAAAATTATTCCCCAAGTTTCAAGAAAAACTTGATACTAGCTCTTCCAAGGAATGTTCTTTATTAGGAGAATTAGGAGAATATGAAAAAGAAATCTCGAAAGACACTTGATGATAAACCAATTTAGGGTATAAGCAAAATATGCAAGTTCCACACATAATTTTTTACTTCATTCAAATGTACCAAGAAAGCTACACAAGGAGTTGTATTTATAGTGTTCCCCCTCTCATCTTACTCAATGCACTAGGTGAAGTGAGACTTGTTGGCTTGTTAACAAGAGTTGGTCGAATACACTAAATTAAGTCCCACATTCTTTTTTTGAAAGCTTTCCTAAGTGTATATATATTACATTACACTCTCAATGGCTGTAAGCAAAAATAACATGTGGTCTTAAGCTTTGAGTATGACCGAGCATATTCATTAGGTGCAATCTTCCCTTTTTTATTCAGTCACAAGCTCTCCATGTGTACATATCTTTATTGATCCATTTGCTTTGAGTCCCATATGAAAATAAGGAATGTATTCTCAAACATTTTTATACCACTAGATCTCCCTAATGTGCCACCAAATGGTGAAAATAAGGAGGAGTTGTGCAAGTCAACTTATCAATGCTTATTCAACTCAAGTTAGGAGAAATACAAGCTTGAGGGCTTTATTTATAAATGTACCTCTCCTTATATTAACCTAAGAAATGTGGGACTAATTCTCCTTTCTGCATAATTTTTCACATACTCTCCTTCAAGTCCAATATAACACACTTTTATTTACATTTCAATATTTATAAACAACAATTCTCCCAATTGTTGCAACCAACATGTGGAGGAGGACTTTAAAGAATAACTTTCGATGTATTCATAACATGCAAATGACTCCATATTGACTTGCTATGAATATGACCTATTTTTACAAAGGAAATAAATATTACAATTTTCTATAATTTTACAAAGCTAAAGAATTGAAGAGGAGTGTTAGAGAAATATTTTGCTCTATGTGAAGAAGAAATTTATTTCCTTCAATCCTCTTAATCATGGGTTCTAATTAAAGGTCGAATAAATTATAAGCTTTTAACTAGAGACTTATTAAGTTGTTCCTTGGATGATTTTTAATCAAACACTCTTAAGTTAGTTTTAAGACAAGAAAATAGTGTAGTTGAAAATAAGTGATAAAAAGATATTTATGCCTTGAGTGAGTCTTGTTAGGATTAGAAGATAATAAAAATTGTCTAAGAAATATTAATTGATATAAGACATTGTACAAAATAATAATATATATATATATATATATATATATCAAATGTAATTAATAAGATAACATGTAATTAAATAAATATAATAATTTTATAATATTATCTAATAATGATAATATATTGAAATAATTAATTTAGGTTGCATTTAATATATAGCTAAAAAAAGTATATACAAAATACAATGATATTTTAATTTTTTTTCATGTACAACTACATAATAATTATTTTAAAATAATAATAATAATAATAATAATAATAATAATAATAATAAACTATACTATTATTAATTAATAAAAATATCTAAGTATCTCCTCTTTAATTTACATAATTATTTCACATTTTACAACTGAAATTATATCATTACTATTTTAATTTTTTTTAATATTTTGATAATTTTTTATTATAAATTTATTTTTAATATTTTGATAATAATTAAAGAATAGATATAAATAATATTAATATTTTTATTAATAAGAAGGAGAGTACGGGATGGATTCCTCACCACAGGTTTATGTCCTAATCCTCTCATCTTCTCTTCGTCATTCTTCACGAAACCATAACCAAAACAATGCCGTCATCAATCGAAACTGTCCTTGAACGTGCTCGTCCCTTCCTTCGCGGCGAGATCCAATCCATTGACGAAAACCTCCCTTCGTTGGTTGGCGTCCTGCAGAGCGTGGGTGCCGGAGAGTGCTGGCACAAACATGGCAGCTTCCTTCATCACCTTGTCGACATATATCGCATTCTAAACCTCTGGAAAGCCCCTCACTCCGTCTGCCTCTGCGGCCTCTTCCACTCAGCCTACTCCAACTCCTACGTCAACCTCGCCATCTTCGACCCTTCAACTGGCCGTGAAGTGGTTCGCCGCCACGTGGGCCACGAAGCTGAGTCTCTGATTCACTTGTTCTGTGTAGTTCCCAGGCAGCCCCTCATCCACGACGATCTTCTCTTCCACTACTCCGATCAAGAACTTATGCAACACCTTGCTCAGTCGGAGATATCTCTCAGGAACGCCAAGGAGAAGGGTCTCTTCGACGGGGAAGAAGGATGGAGAAAGAAACTGCAGGGTCTTGTTCCGGCCGATGGGGTTGAAGTTAAGCACATTCGAACGGGTGAAGGGGTGCATGTTTCTCGGAGGGTAGTGGCTGTTTTCGTGATGATGACCATGGCAGATTTCTGTGACCAGTTATTTGGTTTTCAGGATGTGCTGTTTGACAACGCCAATGGTCGCCTTGAGTTTTCTGGGAACAATTCCGGGGCTCTATGGCCGGGAGATGGGAAGCCAGGTCTGTGGTTGAATGCAATTTCAAGGATGGGAGCAGTGTACAGTTTGATTGCGAGGGAGGAAGAGATTTTCATTGAAGAGAAGAAAAGGAAGGGAGTTGGTGCGGTGGTCGATGTGGAGAGAAATGAAGATATCGAGTTGGTTTTGCCTCCAGTTTTTGATGAGTGTACAAAGGTCGTGGAGGCGGGAGATCAAATAGTTGCAAGAGATTTGTACTGGGAAGCTGTTTGTGAGAAGGGGCCGGGGAAGGTTGAAGAGTTGCTGCTGGGGTCTATAAGCAAAAACCCGTTTGTTGGAGAACCATACGTGGTGCTGAGTCAGGTTTATTTGTCGAAGGGGAGGTTCGAGGAGGCCGAGAAACAGGCAGAAAAAGGACTGAGACTTTTGCTTGAATGGGGGTGTCCGTGGGACAAGAGGACTTCCTGGGAAGGATGGGTTGCGTGGACTAGGGTTTTGCTAATGAAAGCTAAGGACAAATCTTGGCCTCAGTCTTCATGGGGCATCCTCAATCTGGGTCTTGTAAAGTAATTCGTTCGGCTTCAGGTGCCTTATCTTCATGAATTCTTATCATAACATCCACTTTATATGTGTTCTCGGAAGAAAGTGGATATTTTTTACTGAATAATTATGAGGTGGAATTTTATAAATTTGAATTAAGTAAGTGGAAAATAAAATGGAAGGCCTTGAATCCTGAATTTATAAAATTAGTATTATGTTCTTAGACAAATTGTACATGGTATGGTATGGATTTGGATATTAGTGATTTATTTTTATTTCCAGGAACGAGAAGGTCTCAATTTTATATCCTATAGTACTATTAGAGTTAACTTTTATATTTAAAGTATTGTCTACTTTGAAGTTATAGTCTATAACGATTTTATCCTTAAAAAGAGTTTTCGTAGGTTAAGAAGAAGATATATATAAATTACCATCGACTTTTGAGCGGTGTGAGATTTATGAGTGTATCGAAATATAAGTCCCCACTCAACGACTAAGAGATATGAGTAGAGTGAGAGTGTCTCGGTCTTATGTCCACAAATGTCCTCCTTCTAGTGTTAGAGGTGTCTTTTAAGGACAAAATTATGGCAAAATGAGACTTCAAAACTAACAATACCTCAACCATAAGAATGAACCCTAACAATATTACCATAGCGGATATGAGGTCGGCATACTTTAATTTCTAGACGAAATCATTTCATATTTAAATTTGAATAGAAAAAAGGTCATGAGGTGTTATAAAATATTATCTCGAAATCGATATAAATAGAAATATAATATGTGGCATATTTTATTAATAAATTTATTAGTGTACTTTATTTATATTTAGTATATTTTTTTAATTAATTAGTATTTAACATAATTTTTATAAAAAGGAAATAAATATCTCTAAATCTAATTTATTACTTAAATTGTACATTTTAATTATTTTTTTATTTTTGTTTAAATGAGAAATAAAAAAAATTATAAAAGCTTTAATCTAAGGAATTTGCTCAGCACACAAAAATGCACTCAGTGAACAATCAGAGAGTTCATTCCTTAATTCAACCATCCTCTGAGCGAACAAGTCAATCGCTGAGCGAATAAGTCAAATATTGTGTAACTAACTTAACAACAATTTCGTTGAGTGAAGGAATCGCTTAGCGAATTCATTGTAGAGCCTCAATTCTGTAGAAAGTTATTTGAATTCTATTATGTAATTATAGGCCTTGAAAGAACATTGTTTGTTTTGTACATGATTGTTATTGCATAAATAGACTTAAGAAGGCTATAAGACATAAGTTAAGTTCCATTTTCTTATTTCCAAGTTTTAGATATGAAATTCTCTCTAGATTTTCTCTATTTGTGATGCTTAGATTTCAAGCTTATTCATGAAGTTTTTTGTACAAATGATGCTTTGAAGATTATCAATTCAGGTTGTTTTTTATCATATTTGATTTGTTTTTCTTTACTTCTTCGCTTTAATTTTCATTTTCATCTTTTTCTTCCACTCCTACACCATTTCCTTTATTGTTTTTATGTTTTTACTAGTTTTTCACTTCTCAATCATGTTCTAGTTAGCTTTCGTTGTTGATTCACTGATTAAAACTTATTTTCTATGGTATAGATTCGATTTTTAACGATTCTAACCTATTATGATTCCTTATAACCAATGTAATTAAGGTTCTTTGATTAAATGTCTCATTTTACATCATAATTCAATTGTTAGGTTTAAGTGATTGTTTGATTTAGAAATTAAGTTGTGTTTACAAATTTCATATGGATTGTAATCGTTTGAAATTCTTGTGGAGTTGTTTTTGTGATTGCAAGACAAATTCTAGACATGAATGATAATCATGAGAACAAGTTTATGATGGGAGAATCAACATTATTTTCCTATTGAATTTTTTCACTTATGTTCCTTACTTGCAATTTTATTTTCAATGTTTTCTTTAGTGCTTAGCCTTGTATATGTAAATTTAATGTAATTCTTTCTTGTTTTTCATTTACGGATCTTGATTAACTAGCTTTATATGCTTTCATTTACTTTCCAATGCATTTACAACAATCCTTTGTTGTTTTCATAGTTTAAATTTAAGGCTTTCATTTACATTTTTTAATAGATTAGTTTACCGTTTTCATTTAGTTTCATAGTTTACAACTTTTCATTTACTTTTCTTGCCCTAAAATCTGAAAATCCCCCTTATTCCTACCACTTAGCATTTGAAAATCAAGATTTAAACAAAGTTGACCAATTCTCCTCAAGAACACGACCTAGGTTAGTCCTAACACTCTTTTACTTTGATTGGAATTTCTTTAATGACATCTAGTTTACAAGATTTCATTAACCGAAATGAGATCTATTGATGTTTGTTTTGTTTTAAATCTTAATTTTCTCTTGTCAAATGTTAGTGTACAAATTTGTTTTGTGTTTGTGTTATTTGAGTCAATTTAATGTAATTTGTTCATTCACTCAATCATTTGCATTTTGCTGACCGAATCTTATGTTTTTATGAAATTATTTTAATACTCAAATTTTTGCTTAGTGATTCTGCATTCACTCAATAGATTTCTTGTAGTGTTGTGTGTCTTTGTTTCTATTCATCTTTCCCTCAACGATTGTGCGATTCACGAAGCAATTTTTGTCAAGTGTTTAGATTTTTGTTTTGTTTATTATATTTGTCCAGCAAGGACCTGTTCGCTTAACATATTGTTTGCTTTTTAGTTTATTTAGTTATTGGAATGATTTTGCCTAATAGTTTGCAAAATGCTTAACGATATTCTTCTCGATTAAGTATTTTGCTCAACGAATCATTATTTGCTCAGCAGATTGGCTCTAATAACTTTTGTTATTGTGATTTTCTGTACTTACTACATTATTCTTTACTCTTTTGATTTTTGAATCTGAATGTTTCATTTCCATAATGCTAAAATATTTGCATTTGATCTAGAAATTGAAAGAACTTTATCAAAATTGAAAAAAAATAAAAAATAAACCCTTTCATTCATTAGTGAAAACATGACTCAAAATAAATTCAATGAGAGAACACTTAAAAAATTGGTTGCACCTAATGTTTCATATCATAACATATGCATACAATTTGTGATAACCTTTTGTTAGCCATTTTTAGCTTTATATTCTTATTTCTTTTTTTAATTAAGTCACGTTACAATCCAAAGAAAGTGAAAAACCATATTTAGCTCTTAAACTTTGAATTTATTAGAAGTTTTGGAATTGTATTAAAAATTATTTAAATGATTATAAAGATGCAAGATAAATTATGCAAAAATGTATGTTAATATGATGCAAATTTGCTTGACGTACAAAAATTCATTGAGTCATTAATCAATTCTAAATTATTCAAAAAATAAAAAATTGATAATACTATTTCACTTAGTGCACAAAAATGTGTCTAGTGTGTGAAAAAGAAAGAAATAAAAATAAAAATATGAGAAAAAATGAAAAAGAAAAAAAAGAAAGGAAATGACAAATATTTATATATAGTATTCTTGTGATTTATTTAAAAGCTCATTTCTCAATTCTTCTCTTTCATTTTTTTTAGTTCATAATTAACTTTGTTTTGTCTTTGTTTATACCAAATCTTGACCTTAACCTCATTACAACCTTTTAAAAGACTTTTTAATCTTTAATTTGCATATTTTCTGGTTTATTTAATTAGAATTTTGTCAAACCTATGGTTAATCTTATTTTTGAAATGTGAATTGAAAGAAATACTTACCTTAAACACTTTGAGTAATTGAGTGCAATTAAATTTATCCAAGTGAGGATTTCTAATCTTAATTATGTTATGATGACCACTTGATCACTTGTTATATATTTGGAATAAATTGATAAAGTACTTGTATTTTAACATTATTATTATTATTATTATTATTATTATGAAGTCTTTATAATTGATTTATTGATTTTAACTTGATTTATTGATAAAATGTATTTTATTTTCATTTTTTAATTTTACAAACTTTACTTTGCTTGGAAATGCAAAGGTTTAAGTATGGAATTATTTGATGAATACATTTTATCAAGAAATTTATTAGTGTATTTTATCTATATTTAGTACATTTCTTTAATTAATTATTAGTGTTTAACATAGTTTTTTATAAAAAAAATATCTATGAATCTAATTTACTACTTAAATAGTATATTTTAACTATTTATTTCTTTATTTTTGTAGGAATTAGAAATTAAAGAAATTATAGAAGCTTTAATGTTAGGAATTCGGCACACAAAAATTTGCTCTGTGAAATCTAGTTAGAGAGCTCATTCCCGAATCCAAAAATCCACGAAGCAAACAAATTAACCGTTGAGCTGCTAAGCAAGTGAAGGAATTGTTGAACGAATTTATCGCAAAACCTTAATTTTGCAAAAACTTATTTGAGTTCTATTATGTAATTATGGGTCTTGAATGATCCTTTCTCGCTTTTACACAATCTTGTTGTATAAATAGGCTTTAGAATGTCAAAAGACATAAGTTAAGTTTCATTTTATGATTTCCAAGTTTTGGATCTCAAATTCTCTCTAGATTTTCTCCCTTTGTGATACTTAGCTTTGAAGTGTGTTTATGGAGCTTCTTGTACAACTTATGCTTTGAAGATTATCATCTCAAGTTGTTTTTTATCATGTTTGATTTATTTCTCTTTAGTTCTTCGCTTTAATTTTTGTTTTCATCTTTTTCTTGCACTTACACATCATTTCCTTTACTATTTTCATTTTTATGATTTAGATTCAGTTCTTAATGATTCTAACTAATTATGATCTATTACATTAAATGTAATTGAGGTTATTTGATTAAATATCTAAGTTTATATCATAATTCAATTTCTAGGTTTTAAGTGATTGCTTGATTTAGGAATTTAATTATGTTTATAAATTTTAAATTGACTGTAATTGTTTGAAACTGTTGTGAATTTGCTTTTGTGATTGCAAGGCAAAATCTAGAAATAAATGATAATCATAAGAACAATTTTATGATTGAACATTCCACATTGTTTTCCCATTGAATTTATTTAATATTCTTCATTGGTTTTAC